ATCTCCGCCCGTCTGACTTTCCAATGATCTATAGATCTCGCTTCGAGTCGAATCAGGCACTCAAATTACTAAATTTCCTAGTGAATGTTTCTATAAAACTAAATTCAGAACAAAAACAATCTATACTTATCTCGATTTTTATGTTCGCGCAAAACTCAAGATCTATTGAACCGATCTTCCTCAAATTTTGACACGTTATTCCTGCATACTCTAGGACGGACTTAGGCTATGTAGCATGACTCAGAAGCGCGTTATTAACATGTAATTTATGTGCAAAGATTTCATGTGTAACGACCGTTTGGCGGACCACGCGACCCCTGTATACGACAGTCTACGTGCGCGCGCATACGCGTTAACGGCCCGCGCGATACCTCGCCCGTAGCAGTACCGCGATGTCACCGCCAGGTGGCGTAGCTTCTCGAGCGCTTTCTCGCGAGAGTATTGCATTATCGCGGATATGTATGTCAGGACGATCGTTTGGTCATAAATTGCTTTTGCAATGAGATGCGTGGAAAACGTATTCAAGGGTCGCGTGTGGCCACATATTTACGATTGCAAGGAAGAATCGGTCTTCAGAACGAAGAACTGAGAATCCAGTTTACTCAGTTTACTAAGTCCAATTACTTCTGGTGAATAGACATTCCCCCGATATCCTACTCACTTAGCAGAAAAAAATTCGAGAAGCTATGAAATTTTTCGAGAAAATTAAAAAATTTCAAATCATTCTAAAAAAATTATTTTCAATTACGAGGGCTGATTACAATTACTTTTGGTGAATAGACATGCCCCCGAAATCCTACTCACTTTGCAGAAAAAAATTCGAGAAGTTATGAAATTTTTCGACAAAATTAAAAAACTTCAAATCATTCTAAAAAAATTATGTTTAGTTACAAGGGTCAATTACAAGAATTTTTGGTGCCTAGATGTACCACCGAAATCCTACGCACTTTTGGGAAAAAAATTCTTTACCGAAAATCTAATGCGAGGCTTCCCTGAAATTTCATGCGAATCTTCAAAATGTCATAACTCCTGAACGGATTGGACGATTTTAATTCATCAAAATGCAAACGACGCGTATTTTGGTGGAGAGTATGTAGAAATTCCATAAATATTCGAAAAGTTATTCCTTGACACCGTAAAATGAGAAAACCCCCATAAAAATGGTCCAATTTTCAAACAGCCATAACTCCTACAATAGTGAATACGTTTCAATGAAACTTTTTTCTGCTATAGAGCTCACGGATGCCTACAAAAAAGTATTAGACAATGTTTCCGTAGGGCATCAATCAAAATTACTAAAAATCAAAAACTAATATAAGAAAAATCGACGGGGAGTTGGTAGGTACCTAAATTTTTCAACGAAAAAAAAATGTCAAATCATACTAAAAAAATTATATTCAGTTGCAGAGGTCAATTACAACCATTTTTAGTCATTACACATATCCACGAAATCCTACGCATTTTCGAGAAAAAAATTCGAGTAGGAACTGAAATTTTTAAACAAAATTAAAAAACTTCAAATCATTCTAAAAAAATTATTTTTAGTTACAAGGGTCAATTACAAGAATTTTTGGTGCCTAGATGTACCACCGAAATCCTACGCACTTTTGGGAAAAAAATTCTTTACCGAAAATCTAATGCGAGGCTTCCCTGAAATTTCATGCGAATCTTCAAAATGTCATAACTCCTGAACGGATTGGACGATTTTAATTCATCAAAATGCAAACGACGCGTATTTTGGTGGAGAGTATGTAGAAATTCCATAAATATTCGAAAAGTTATTCCTTGACACCGTAAAATGAGAAAACCCCCATAAAAATGGTCCAATTTTCAAACAGCCATAACTCCTACAATAGTGAATACGTTTCAATGAAACTTTTTTCTGCTATAGAGCTCACGGATGCCTACAAAAAAGTATTAGACAATGTTTCCGTAGGGCATCAATCAAAATTACTAAAAATCAAAAACTAATATAAGAAAAATCGACGGGGAGTTGGTAGGTACCTAAATTTTTCAACGAAAAAAAAATGTCAAATCATACTAAAAAAATTATATTCAGTTGCAGAGGTCAATTACAACCATTTTTAGTCATTACACATATCCACGAAATCCTACGCATTTTCGAGAAAAAAATTCGAGTAGGAACTGAAATTTTTAAACAAAATTAAAAAACTTCAAATCATTCTAAAAAAATTATTTTTAGTTACAAGGGTCAATTACAAGAATTTTTGGTGCCTAGATGTACCACCGAAATCCTACGCACTTTTGGGAAAAAAATTCTTTACCGAAAATCTAATGCGAGGCTTCCCTGAAATTTCATGCGAATCTTCAAAATGTCATAACTCCTGAACGGATTGGACGATTTTAATTCATCAAAATGCAAACGACGCGTATTTTGGTGGAGAGTATGTAGAAATTCCATAAATATTCGAAAAGTTATTCCTTGACACCGTAAAATGAGAAAACCCCCATAAAAATGGTCCAATTTTCAAACAGCCATAAGTCCTACAATAGTGAACACGTTTCAATGAAACTTTTTTCTGCTATAGAGCTCACGGATGCCTACAAAAAAGTATTAGACAACTTTTCTCTAGAGCGTCAAACAAAATTACTAAAAATGAAAAACATATAGGGTAGGTGTCGAAATTTTTCAGCGAAACAAAAATTTTCGAATCGTTTTGAAAAAATTATTTTTAGCTGTGGGGGGAGATTGCAATCATTTTTTGTGAATAGATACTCCGCCGAAATCCTACGCACTTTCGAGAAAAAAATTCTTTACCGAAAATATATTCTGTGTCCGGAAATATTTCCATAACTTTTTAACGAAGCCTCAATCAAGAAATTGATATTCTTCATTTTCGTCTTGTTTTGGCCTCTAGAATCTCCCGTTAAAATTTTTTCATCCTCCCTGTATAAGAAATGGGAAATTTTAATTTTCAAGAAACTACTTAATACGCTCAATATGCAACTATATCTATACTATTACATAAAGAGAGAGTCGATTTTTATGTTCGCGCAAAACTCAAGACCTATTGAACCGATCTTCCTCAAATTTTGACACGTTATTCCTGCATACTCTAGGACGGACGTAGGCTATGTAGCATGTCTCAGAAGCTCGTTATTAACATGTAATTTATGTGCAAAGATTTCATGTGTAACGACCGTTTGGCGGACCACGCGACCCCTGTATACGACAGTCTACTTGCGCGCGCATACGCGTTAACGGCCCGCGCGATACCTCGCCCGTAGCAGTACCGCGATGTCACCGCCAGGTGGCGTAGCTTCTCGAGCGCTTTCTCGCGAGAGAATTGCATTATCGCGGATACATATGTCAGGACGATCATGTGATTATAAATTGCATTTGCACTAGGTCTGGCGAACTCGAGACGAGGCATGCTAGTTTTAATAATAAAATTCAATTAAAATATCGATTTTGTTGAAGTTCATACGTAATGAAATATGAATTTTATGAGGTTCATACGTAATGAAATATCAATTTTATAAAATTCATACGTAACTTTCCATTTACGAAATTTCCTAAAAGAAAAGTAAATTCTTTCGACAAAGCTCCGACAGCAAAAACAATTTTAACAATAAAATTCAATTCAACTACCAAAAGAAAACCTCAATTTTTTGAAATCGTAAAATTGGATCGCAAGAAAAGTTTTATTTATTTTCTGTCTCCAATGAAATATACTGCTCTTCGATTAATTTAATTTAGACGAAGTATTTTAAATTTTTTTGACGATTAAAAAAGAATTTCATAGTAGAATTGTTATGTTTATTGTTTGTGGAAGTGGATGTAAGTGATTTTAATTTATTTTTTAATGTTAATTTGTCCTTCTATTGTGAGAGAAACGGTAGAATGTCGGGATTCTCGCGATGTGTACGCGACGTGGAGCAAGCGATGGCGATCGTGCGAGCACCAGAACAGAATTAACACGAAGGGGGGTCAATCCGGTATTTCTGGCGCGATTGTCCGTCGAAAAATAGATCCGTATGGCGGTTCGGATTAAAAGACGCCACTGGGACGATTATTCTGGCGCTGTTACGCTACTCGTGTCCTTCCGTGATTCTTTCTCTCTCGTGTCCTCATCCATCTCTCTTCTGTTTGCTCCAGGAACGAAAATAGCGACACGGTGCTATCGATTTCTTCCATTTTTCCGATCGATCGATCCACTAAGTACGTCCACGAACATTTTTTCAGCTCGAAACTACCATTCTCTTTCAGTTTTATTAGTTTTATTAAACTCCTTTGTCTCAACTTCGTTCAGTCGATTCGTAATTATTAGACTTAAGCCCATTAAGTAATTATTAGACGGAACTGATTCCAATTAGGATCCCAAAGATTTTTGATTAACTTAAAAAATATGATTTAAAAGAATTCCGAATAGTAATAATTAGACAACGAATGTTTATGCATTTATGGGAAATTTTAATTTACAAAAAGCTACAGAATTTGGTTAATATGCAGTAATATAAGAAATACTTCAAGTAAGATACTAATTATTATATTTAAGGGTTGAGACAATCACAAAGCTTCAATTTCATGAATTTTATTAATAAAAATATGAATTTGCACGAATTCGCACAGATATTTTAATATATTTTAAACACACGTCCTTTCCTCAAGAATTTTATCCAAATTGAAACCAAAGTATTAGGAAAACAATTATCTATGAAGATGTTGATTTATGTTAAGACTGTTACGTATTAAATTTGCTTAAACTTGCAAACATAAACTGCCTTTTTTTGGTCGATATTTGTACGGATACAAGATACACATAAAAGAAAGTATAACGCTATATTAAAACAGAGAATAGAAAAATATGAATAGTAAATTGTATCTGCATTTAGAAGATTTATTATTACTATTATTGTTATTACCACTACTACTACTACTACTACTACTACAATCATTATTATTATTATTATTATTATTATTATCATCATCATCATAATCGTCATAATTATAATCATCATAATCATAATCATCATACTCATCATCATAATCGTCATAATCATCATACTCATCATCATAATGATCATACTCATCATCATAATCATCATAATCATCATAATCATCATACTCATCATAATCATCATACTCATCATCATAATCATCATAATCATCATACTCATCATCATAATCATCATAATAATCATACTCATCATCATAATCATCATACTCATCATCATAATCGTCATAATCGTCATAATCGTAATAATCATCATACTCATCATCATAATCATCATACTCATCATCATAATCATCATAATCATCATAATCATCATACTCATCATCATAATCATCATACTCATCATCATAATCATCATAATCATCATAATCATCATACTCATCATCATAATCATCATACTCATCATCATACTCATCATTATAATCATCATACTCATCATACTCATCATCATACTCATCATACTCATCATCATAATCATCATAATCATCATAATCATCATACTCATCATACTCATCATACTCATCATCATACTCATCATACTCATCATCATAATCATCATACTCATCATCATACTCATCATCATAATCATCATAATCATCATACTCATCATACTCATCATCATAATCATCATACTCATCATACTCATCATCATAATCATCATACTCATCATCATAATCATCATACTCATCATACTCATTATAATCATCATACTCATCATACTCGTCATCATACTCATCATTATAATCATCATACTCATCATACTGATCATCATACTCATCATACTCATCATCATAATCATCATAATCATCATACTCATCATCATACTCATCATACTCATCATCATACTCATCATCATAATCAGCATAATCATCATACTCATCATACTCATCATCATAATCATCATACTCATCATACTCATTATACTCATCATTATAATCATCATACTCATCATACTCATCATACTCATCATCATAATCATCATACTCATCATCATACTCATCATCATAATCATCATAATCATCATACTCATCATCATACTCATCATACTCATCATCATACTCATCATCATAATCAGCATAATCATCATACTCATCATACTCATCATCATAATCATCATACTCATCATACTCATTATACTCATCATTATAATCATCATACTCATCATACTCATCATACTCATCATCATAATCATCATACTCATCATCATACTCATCATCATAATCATCATAATCATCATACTCATCATCATACTCATCATCATACTCATCATACGTATCATACTCATCATACTCATCATAATCATCATAATCATCTTAATCATCATCATCATCATCATAATCATCATCATCATCATCACCAATATCACCATCTTCATCATCATCATCTTCATCATTATCATTATCATCATCATCATTATCATTATCATTATTATTATTATTATTATTACGTGGACGATACAACAATTAAATTGACAAATATTTTCACGCTATGCACACAGAGAGAAGGGAAGCAAATTTCGACGAAATAACGTCGCTGGTTTCGCGAGTAAAAGCATTTAGCAGCTCATTAAATCGATAATTAACGCGACGCGTCGACACGGTCCCGCGTACCGCGAGCCACCGTGCATGTTTCAAGGTTTCGAAGGTATTCGAATACCTCGGGTATTCAAACCTTGCCCGAAGTGTATATTTATTCACGCCGCTTACTTTTTACGCACGGTACTGTAAATATTATTACGCTGGGGTGGATCCGCGTGTATACGCTTTTTTTCGGTGGCTTGACGTTAGAAGCGCCCCGAATTCTTCAAACGAAACCGATTAAAGTGCTTCGCGGCGATCGCGTTTGGAGAAATCTACCAGCCAGTTACATTCTCTTCACAACTGGATGAATTAACGATCATTAATTTTGTTGTACACCTGCTGTCTTGGGAAAAGTATCGAGTGTACGGTATATCCATTGTCTTCTTATTAGTTTTTTATAATTTTATGTGACTAGGAAAATTTTTTATGTTATATTCGATGTAAAGGGTAATCGTAGTTGGAAAGTTTCGAATCTGTTTGCCAATGAAAGCGTAGGAATTTTATATGTATTTTATTTTTTATTAATGAATTGTATCAGTGCATTATTCATGGTTGTGTGTTATTAAAAATCGAACACAAATTTTTAAGAAAAATCGACAGGTGAAATTAAAAGGTTTCAAATCCTTCTAAAAAAATTATTTTCAGTTAATAGGTCCAATTACAATCATTTTTGGTGAATAGATATACCATCGAAATCCTTCGCATTCTCGAGAAAAAAATTCTTTACTGAAAACACAATGTCTGATCATGAGTGGGGATTCCCCTGAAAATTCGGCGAAATTGAAACGTTTCAAATCGTTCTAAAAAAATTATTTTCAGTTACCAGGATCGATTACAATCATTTTTGGTGAATAGACATAAACCCGAAATTCCTACCATTTTCGAGAAAAAAATTCCACAAGGAATGTCACTTCAATAATTTCATGCGAATTTTTAAAACGTCATAACTTCTGAACGGATTGAAGGATTTTAATGTTTAAAACGGCAAATAACGCGTAATTTAGTGAAGAATATGTAGAAATTCTAACAGTATTGAAAAAGTTGTTCTTTCACCTCGTAAAGTGAGAAAAACCCCATAAAAATGGTCCAATTTTTCAGACAACCATAATTCCTACAATAGTGAATATATTTCAATGAAACTTTTTTCTGACATAGAACTCATGGGTATCTACAAAAAAGCATTAGACAATATTTCCATACAGTGTCAAACAAATTTATTAAAAATGAAAAACTAATTTGCAGGAAAAATCGACAGTCTAAATTTTTCGGCGAAAATGAAAATTTTAGAATCGTTCTGAAAAAATTATTTTTAACTAGGGGTACCAATTACAATAATATTTGGTGAATAGACGTAACCCCGAATTCCTATCCACTTTCGAGAAAAAAATTCGACAAAGTAATCAAATTTTTGGACAAAATTAAAAAATTTCAAGTCGTTCTGAAAAAATTATTTTTAGCTAGGAGATTCAATTAGAATAGTTTTTGATGAATAGGCATACCCTCGAATTCCTACCCATTTTCTAGAAAAAAATTCGACAAAGTAATCAAATTTTTGGACAAAAAGAAAAATTCCAAAATCGTTCTGGAAAAAATATTTTCAGTTACAGGAGTCAATTACAATCATTTTTGGTGAATAGACATACCCCCGAAATCCTACCCATTTTCAAGAAAAAAATTCTTTACCGAAAAATCTAATTTTTGGCCAGAAATGTTATTATAATTTAATTTACACTCTGAATTCCTCCTTTGTTTAGTTCTATAACCTGTTTATAGTGTTACTAGTGACACAAAAATACTAATGAGTATCTAGAACCCCAGAAAAATGAAAAATGGACCAAAAAACTACATTGTCTGCGATTATATTCCTCTTAATCTCGCAATCTTTCAAAAAATCAGTCGTTAAATCATAGTTCGATGTCAACTATCCTCGAAAATCATAAAATTGACATCCCATTCACTCTATTTGCATCCCTATGTTTTTATAATCAAATTTCTTTTTAGTTTCATCCAGTAACGCATTTTATTTTATTAAGTCCTAACGAATGTGTTTGAATTTTGTTTAACACAGCGTCAAGACGATCAATTTGATATTTACAGCAATTAATTTTCAAGGTTCGACCTGTCTGAACATAAAAATCGACGAGTCGAGGTTTTGGATCGCGAACTTGAAAACGATCGCGTTGGAAATCCCCGTGGAATTAATTCGCGTGCCACGAGGTGGCGCTCGTGCGATGTTCAGCTGTTTGTTATGCTGGTCCGAGCTCACGTGGCGTGGTAAAGCGATTTTAAATAAGCCCTGGCCGCGAGTCCGACCGAAATAGCGACAATCAGTCGATGACACTGCGCCGTTGATCTTCCGTGACGGCCGGTTCGACGTCGATCATCAGCCAAACTCGTCATCGATCGATGACGCGTTTGTACGTCTCACGATCGACGACTCCCACTTCCACGTCCACGTGCCTCCTTCACGGTTAGTCATTGATCGTAAAAACGTGGCCAACTCACGCGGTTGAGGCGATATTTCCATTTGGCGATCGTTAAAATAAACTGTCTGAATTATATGTCTGAATAACCAAGTCGTGGTTTGCGTAGTGAAATTAATAGTTTATATGTGAATTACAAAGAATGGTGGCCATCGTGGCCACACTCTAACTCTCTCGCTGTCCGCCGCGTGGCGCTGCGATCACCCAGGACCGTAACTAGCCCAATCCACCACAATTGAATGCTTCTTGGAGAATTCAAAATATTCGGTTAAAAATTACATTTTTGATCGAGAGACTCGCCACACTCTAACTCTCTCGCTGTCCGCCGCGTGGCGCTGCGATCACCCAGGACCGTAACTAGCCCAATCCACCACAATTGAATGCTTCTTGGAGAATTCAAAATATTCGGTTAAAAATTACATTTTTGATCGAGAGACTCGCTACACTCTAACTCTCTCGCTGTCCGCCGCGTGGCGCTGCGATCACCCAGGACCGTAACTAGCCCAATCCACCACAATTGAATGCTTCTTGGAGAATTCAAAATATTCGGTTAAAAATTACATTTTTGATCGAGAGACTCGCCACACTCTAACTCTCTCGCTGTTCGCCGCGTGGCGCTGCGATCACCCAGGACCGTAACTAGCCCAATCCACCACAATTGAATGCTTCTTGGAGAATTCAAAATATTCGGTTAAAAATTACATTTTTGATCGAGAGACTCGCTACACTCTAACTCTCTCGCTGTCCGCCGCGTGGCGCTGCGATCACCCAGGACCGTAACTAGCCCAATCCACCACAATTGAATGCTTCTTGGAGAATTCAAAATATTCGGTTAAAAATTACATTTTTGATCGAGAGACTCGCTACACTCTAACTCTCTCGCTCTCCGCCGCGTGGCGCTGCGATCACCCAGGACCGTAACTAGCCCAATCCACCACAATTGAATGCTTCTTGGAGAATTCAAAATATTCGGTTAAAAATTACATTTTTGATCGAGAGACTCGCTACACTCTAACTCTCTCGCTCTCCGCCGCGTGGCGCTGCGATCACCCAGGACCGTAACTAGCCCAATCCACCACAATTGAATGCTTCTTGGAGAATTCAAAATATTCGGTTAAAAATTACATTTTTGATCGAGAGACTCGCTACACTCTAACTCTCTCGCTGTCCGCCGCGTGGCGCTGCGATCACCCAGGACCGTAACTAGCCCAATCCACCACAATTGAATGCTTCTTGGAGAATTCAAAATATTCGGTTAAAAATTACATTTTTGATCGAGAGACTCGCTACACTCTAACTCTCTCGCTCTCCGCCGCGTGGCGCTGCGATCACCCAGGACCGTAACTAGCCCAATCCACCACAATTGAATGCTTCTTGGAGAATTAAAAATATTCGGTTAAAAATTACATTTTTGATCGAGAGACTCGCTACACTCTAACTCTCTCGCTGTCCGCCGCGTGGCGCTGCGATCACCCAGGACCGTAACTAGCCCAATCCACCACAATTGAATGCTTCTTGGAGAATTCAAAATATTCGGTAAAAAATTACATTTTTGATCGAGAGACTCGCTACACTCTCACTCTCTCGCTCTCCGCCGCGTGGCGCTGCGATCACCCAGGACCGTAACTAGCCCAATCCACCACAATTGAATGCTTCTTGGAGAATTCAAAATATTCGGTTAAAAATTACATTTTTGATCGAGAGACTCGCTACACTCTAACTCTCTCGCTCTCCGCCGCGTGGCGCTGCGATCACCCAGGACCGTAACTAGCCCAATCCACCACAATTGAATGCTTCTTGGAGAATTCAAAATATTCGGTTAAAAATTACATTTTTGATCGAGAGACTCGCTACACTCTAACTCTCTCGCTGTCCGCCGCGTGGCGCTGCGATCACCCAGGACCGTAACTAGCCCAATCCACCACAATTGAATGCTTCTTGGAGAATTCAAAATATTCGGTAAAAAATTACATTTTTGATCGAGAGACTCGCTACACTCTCACTCTCTCGCTGTCCGCCGCGTGGCGCTGCGATCACCCAGGACCGTAACTAGCCGATCCACCACATATAATTATACACGTGTATCGTTTCGAGTGATTGTCATAATATTATTTGAATAATAAATTAAGAAAATTGGGCACAAATTCATTAAAAAATTTATGCGTTGAAAACATTATAACTTGACATATTATAATTGGACGTTACTTAAATGAAATTTTAAATGGAATTTGAAATGAAATTTAGATTTATAACGCTTTCTCTTTTAACCTATAGCTCTTACTCCGCTCAAGTTCCTCGCATTTCCCGATACCACACATATATATATATAT